CATGAGAACAATAAAGGAAATGAATGAAAAATTCTTTAAAGAAATTGAAATATTACAAAAGAACCAAACAGAAATTCTGGAAATGAAAGAGGCATTCAAGGAACTTCAAAACACAGTGGAAAGCCTTAAGAATAGAATGGATCACGAAGAGGAAAGAATCTCCAAGCTTGAAGATAATGCCTATGTGCAAAACAAATCAGATGAAGAAAAAGAACACAGAACCAAGAGACAAGAACAAAACATACAAGAAATGTGGGGTTATGTAAAGAAACCAAATATAATTACAGGCATCATGGAGAGAGAAGAAGAAAATACATAAGGGCCAGAAAATCTATTTCTTGAAACAGTGGAGGAAAATATGCCTGGCCTGGCCAGAAATCTAGATACCCAGATAGAAGCAGCACACACAACTCAGAAACTCGACATGAAAAGGGAATCACCACGTCACATAATTACTAGACTGGCCAAAGTAAACACTAAAGAGGCAATCCTTCGAGCAGTAAAGAGAAAATAGCAGATACCCTACAAAGGAAAACCTATCAGACTAACTGTAGACTTCTAAATTGAAAACCTACAAGCCAGAAGGAACTGGGGAACCCATCCTCAATATTCTTAAACAGAATAATGGCCAACCTAGAATCCTTTACCCCAAAACTAAGCTTCATCTATGAGGGAGAAATAAAGACTGTCCCAGACAAGCAATCACTGATGGAATTTGTGAAGACCGGACCTGCCCTGCAGGAAGTACTCAGACTTGCATTATACACTGAATAGTGTAACAGACACTCACCAAAGTAAAATCACTCAGGAGTTATAAGTCCAGAACCTGGATTCCACAATGGCTCAAAAGGTAAAACAAAACAATAAGAATTTACCCAACAATATGAACAGAAATCTACCCCAAATATCAATCCTGTAAATGAATGTGAATGGCTTCAATTACTCTCTGAAGAGACATAGATTGGCTGAGTGGATAAAAAATTAAAAACAAACTATCTGCTGTCTCCAGGAAACTCATCTAACCCACAAAGATGCTTTCAGAGTGAAGGTCAAGGGTTGGAAAACAAACTTCCAGGCAAATGGAAGCCAAAAGAGAGCAGGGGTAGCAATCCTGATTTCAGACAGC